GGCTTGCTTGGGGCTGCCCGGGCTTACCGCCAACGTTACCAAGGGCCGCCGGGGACCGCCAACGCTAGGAAAAAAAAAAAAGTGCGGGCCCCCAAACCCTATACCTCCATAAAGCCTACACCTTGGAACCGAAAATGTGGACCCTAAGCCCTACAGCTAAACCTCAACCCGAGACCCCAAACAGCCAGACCCTGTCCATAAAATCGGAACCGGCCTCGTCTTCGCCTCATCTTCATTAGGCCTGGCCATGGAAGTGGGGCTGAGCCCCGGGTCTCCACTTAAACTGTTGATCCCTCAGTGTTTGCGTGCTTGTAGCGAAGGCTGCTCTTCGGCCGGCTTATGGCGCTTCGACTCTTTTCTCCCACCCCGCGCCGTTCGTGAGGCGGCACAGCCACCCAGACTTGCTCCTTTTCGGTTCAGAAGATTGAACTTAAACTCCCTCCAGGACAACATGAACAAGACGTCGGAACCTTCTCTGGCACCCTGGACTTCGGAAGCAGGCGTACGAAATTCAAAATCGTTGGCTCCTTTTCTGTGGCATTCCGGAGGTGGCCTGGATTGTCTGGGTTTCCGGTCATCGGGGCCACCGAAATGTGGGGGAGCCCACAAAAGCACCAAGATCGTCGAATCTGACACAAGTGCTCCTCTTCTTGAAAACTAAACTCACCTTTTTGTTTTTTGTTCCCACTCTTTTTCTGTGGCGATTTCCTTGACACGTTAGACTATACTTAGTAGGGGTCTGCACGCGGCCGGCCGTGATCACGGAACATACCGACGTGTGCTTGAAAAGCACGTGATTCGAGCACGTCTTCAACAAGCGATCTCATTCCATAGTAACCCTAAACCCTAAACCCTAAACCCTAAACCCTAAACCCTAAACCCTTGGTAAAAGGATTGTTTAGGCAATGCAAGGCAAGGCCTGCAAGGCAGAGAAGGGGAGAGAGGCGCCGGGCAGGGTTCGGTTTTTGACTACTCCGCAACTTGCTTTGTAGCAACTAGTTTAGGGTTTAGGGTTTAGGGTTTAGGGTTTAGGGTTTAGGGTTTAGGGTTTAGGGTTTAGGGTTTAGGGTTTATGGTTGGGATAGTATTAAAAATTTAAATTTATGTTACTTATTGGGTTTAAGTACCTGTCAAAATGTAAAATGTTACCCAACTATGACAAAGGCAATTGCTTCCGGCGCAAGACTGGTGAGGCTCTCAACCTTTCAAGCCAGGCTTTGCTCGCAAAGTGCTGGCCACAGCATTTTGGTGGGCTTGGCCGCCACCAAGCACTGATGTATGGCAGATTCTGCAGGGCTTCGCGATGTTGGGCGCAGGCCCAATGAACATGTGATGTTGGCGCGCCGCAAACAAGACTTGCCGCATGGGCACGTGCAACCGCCTTCGGCGCACCCGTTCGGCCCTTTCACGCGCAACCGTGCGACAGAGCTTTCGTGAAAACAAACTGTACGCGGATATCTGTGAGAAGGAACTTCAGACGGTAGTTTGCTGCGTTCACCGCGAAAGATGCGAAACCCGGTTTACCCAGCAACTCGAACTTCATAAGTTGCAGCGTCAAGCCTTGTACTGAAGCAACGCTTCTGCCATCATCGGCGGCTGCCACATGTTCAATCACTGTTGCCAATGTTGCCAAAAACGGTGCGCATTCAATGCTGCAGTCCGCCCACTGCGGGATGGCGGCATAAAGATAGTTTGCATTTTTGCCCATGTTGCCGAAGATGTCCGTCGCAATCGCCCGACGGGTGCTTGCCGAGCTAACATTCAACATTTCAAATTACATGGCACGGTCCAACCTCCGGCCATTGTTGCGTTGCTCGGAGAACAACATGCAATTTCCTGAGCACAACCCGGCCCGGCGAATACCAGGCGCAGTCAAGTAAGTTCCAAATCCGCTTTCATAGCAAGTATCGGCCGCGACCATCAAAAAAATCGCAGAATGCCCACGCCGATCCGGAAGTGTCGTGGCTTTGTGGTGCAAGGTTTAGGGCTACAGCCCAGGGGTTTTTGAGAGGTTCCTTGAAGGGTTAACTTGTAAGGAGTATGTTTGACGATTACTTTTAAGGGTTCCTTTGGGGCTTCTTTTTACGGGTTCCTTCGAGGGCTGCTTGTTTGGGGGTTCCTGTTCTGATGCTAGCTTTCAGGGTTCCTTAAACGGTTCCGATATAAGCGATCTACAAGGGGCTCTACAAGGCTCTTTTAGTGGTTTCGGCGCTTCAAGCGTTAAGGGATTAAGGAGTTGAGGGCTTATGTGCGTTCATGGTTGAGATTTTGAGGTAGAGTCCTCAGGGTCTTGATTTTAGGGTGTATGGCTTCAGTCAAAATTTGAGGGTTTCGGGCTTTCGGGCTTGAACGTTTGGTGCCGAGGGTTGATAGTTTCCAAAATTTAAGGCTTCCGGTTTTGGGTTCAGGGGTTTCAGCAAGATGTCGGCGCAATAGTTAGCCGGTGTTGGAAGGCTTCGCAGGTTTTCAGGCTCTGGGCACAGCATACTACCTCCCATTTCCATGTTGCAATTCTGTCCTGGTAACCTTGTAGAAACTGTAGACCAGCTGAATAAACTTACAATAGTTTTGTCGTAACCTTCCAGTAACAGCATTGTTGTAACCGGACAGTAGTATGATATGGCAAAGCAGAGTAGTATAACATAAAATAGTATCATGTGATATGACACAATATGATACAACATAATCCAAGAACATATAACATTAACATAAGATAGACAAGGTCTAGTATTCACACAATATTCATATACATATCTCTCTATATATATGTATATGAATATAACATATACCGTATGCATCGGAATAGCCTGAGGGAACCTGTTGCGTGCCTTGGCGGCAGGTCGCCAAAGGCCGCTGCGAAGGCATCGTCGATGAGGCCCGCCTTTCGCTGTGCTGCAATGGCCCCATCAGGATTCTCCTAAGGTCTATAAGGTTCTTATGAAAGTTCGATAAGGGTCCTCTAAAAGTTCTACAAGGGTCCGATACAAGTTCTCTATAAGGGTCCTATAAAGGTTCTATAAGGCGACGGGGTCCTAGAAGGGCCCCATAAGGCTTCGAGGAGGAGATGGTTTCAGGCTTAGGGTTTAGGGTTTAGAGTTTAGGGTTTGGGGTTTAGGGTTTAAGGTAGAATAGCCTCCCCTGTTTGTTGAAACGCCGATTACGGAATTACTTGACTACAAAGAGGCCCCAGACTTACAGCACCCACTTTTCTAGTACTGACAGACAAATGCGCCAAAAAATGCTCTCAGGACGAGATACCCAGTGCGCAACCCCTCTGCAAAATCCTAGTCTGAGCTGGAGCACCCTAAACCCTAAACCCTAAACCCCAAACCCGAAACCCTAAACCCCTAAACCCCTAAACCCCTAAACCCTAAACAGGCCAGGTCTTAGCCTTGTGGTTTGGGAGAGGCTTTAGCACTCTCGGGATTTTTTGGTTGTAGGATTTCAAGAGTCCACCCACAAAAAAACGGCGCGTCAACTAGGGGCTTTATCGGGCTTGGGGTTCGAACTTTAGCGTTTAGGGTTTAGGGTTTAAGGTCCCCGGGTTCATCGGGTAGGGTGAAAGGCTTACGACGGTTAGGGCGTATTGGCTGAGGGCTTCTACAAACCCTACAAAGGAGAGACAAAGTATTATGGCTTGCAGCAAAGCACCCCGATGCAGGTGAGGTGGTGAGGCCGATGAGAGCTCAATTGCTGGAGTCTCGGATAGAGTTGGTTTGCTTCAGAAGACTCTCGCAGTCGGCGCTGAGGCTGCGAGAACACTCGCCGTCATTGTAATTTCCGACCCCGAGACTCCTTTCTTCTTCGCCTTCTTCACCTCGCGGCGCTTAGCCTTCTTGGCCTCGCTCACATTCTTGTGGCTGCGCTTCCCGTCCGCGACGCCGCCCCGAGCCTGAGTAACGCAAGGTTTGACCGAAGACCGGAAGTTCAAGCCAGTTGAAGCCTGGGCACTCTCAGATGCTGGGGATCTGGAGGCATTGCCGCAAACTCTATGGCGGCACAGGAGAGCCTAGCCTTTTCGATGACAGTGACCCCTAGAGACTGTTGGCTTTGCCGCTGCGCCAAGCTGCTAGGGATTATTGGTGAGTGTGTAGAGTGTCGAAAACCCTCACTGTGACGCCACAGAACTGCAAAGCCCAAATACCCTGCAATCCCTACCACCAAGACACCCAAACCTTGACACTCTAATACCCCAGTGCGTCGACATCGGTACTGTCGGAAGCATTGTTCATCAGGGATGTGATTGGGTATCGAATCCAAACTGGCCTTTGTTCAGATCTTCAGCGTCATGGCGGCTTACGATATCGGGATGGTAGGGTGCTGGGGTCGGAAGTATAAGAGTGTTCGGGTGCTGGTGTCGGGGTACTAGGCATTACGTATTAGGGTATTAGTTAGTTAGTGTCCTACGGCATTCGCATATTTGGCTGGTAGAGTTTCGGGTATTGGGTGTCTAAACTCTTAGGGCAAGGACGCCTTACACCCTGCCTCCACATGGTGGCAACTGGTTGGCTCCTGCAGGCAAGGCCGGCAGCTTTAGAAAGCCGTTTCAGGGTGGTTCTTGCTGAGTATTTCGAACATGGTCATACACATACACATACTTACATAAGGACTGCAAGGGAAGAAAACTACTTCTACTTCTGCTTCTATTTCTACTCTACCTCTACTACTACTACTACTACTACTACTACTACTTCTACTCCTACTACTACCTCCACTACCCACTACTCCTACTACCACCGCCACTACCCACTACTACCCACTACTACTACTACTACTACTACTACTAC